GTATTTTTAGTAGAGATGAGTTTTCACCAATTTGGTCAGGCTGGTCTCAAACTCCTGACCTCAGGTGATCTGCCCACCTCGGCCTCCCAAAGTGCTGGGATTATAGGCGTTAGCCACCGCACCCAGCCTGACTCAGCACTCTCTAGTTCTGACATTCTTTGAGTATATGACCTATGGCCTTGGTGTGTGTTCTGGGATTAGAAAGGCCAGGGTGGAGGGATGAGAACAGGACAGCTGGGATTGGAGGTCCTGGCCATGGCAGTGCCAGCTTACAGGTTGCTGGCCAGAGGAGTTGGGTGGCTACCAGAGGCAGGGGGCTGGAGGCTCTGCTTTGTTCTAGAGCTTTTTGAGTGCAGCTACTTCTCTTTTGATGGATTTATAGCAGTACAGGACCAAGACAGCTGGACTGGATGGGGCAAATGGGGGCAGTGTACAGAGGGTCAATGAGGAATGGCGTTAGAGGGCAGTGAGTAGGGGTGGTCTGTTTCTCATCCAGCTGGTGTAACTGGGGCTCAGAGTGATTGGTGGTGGAGAGGGGGTCAGTTATGGAGGTGGGGCATGGACTTCTCAGATCCCTTGGGACTTGCCCACACTGAAGTTTGATGTCATCAGGCACTGTGGTTTTCCAGATAGGGTCACTTGATGCAGTCCAACAAATGCAAAAAGACCTTGGGCAGGGACACTGTATCTGTGGCCAAAGGTGGAAGGAAGCTCTAACCTACAGTCTGGAGAACAGTTGCCAAGTAGGGGCTCATAGGTATCTGTTGATACTTACTGCCTTCACTCTGGAAAATCCTGATCCTGAGTCTCAGCTGGGAGATTCTGGCCCAGCATATGCTTGGGGGAGATTCACACCTTTGCTGTCTATCCTAAGCCACGTAGGTTGGCCTGAAGGTGCAGCAGTTAGATCTCTGGGCTCAGGTGTGTGTTCCTCTGCATCCTTGGGCAGGTGTCCTGGTCTTCTGATCCGAATATGAACAAAGACAACCCTAGATATGTGTGTATGTTGGGGAGTGGGGTTCAGAAGTCAGCAGGCCTTGGGGAACAGCCTGTCCATGCTGTTGCCCTGGGGAGAGACAGATTTCTGCAGGTGAACAATGGTGGAGAACTGCGCCAGCAGATGGGACCCTACTGTCAGAAGGAGGAGCGCAGAGCTGAGGTCGGGGGAAGCGGTCCCTGGATCTGGGGAGGCTTTGGAGTCAGGGAGGGCTGGCACCAGGATAACAGCAGCCTAGGATTATCTCTTTGCAAGGTCATGTTCCTCTACAAAGATTCAATCCCAGCCTGGCTCTGCCTCCATTCCCCCTTAGGCACTGCAGACCAACTAAATACCATGCCAGGAACATCACAGTGTCCCAAAAGGACACTGTGTCCTGACACCGACCCCTCTCTCCACGCTCTGACATTTTGGGTGTTATTCCGTCCTCTCCATCACCAAGTGTTCAGAGAATGGAGGCAATGACGGGTTGGGCTCCTCTGACGGAAGGCTTGTGTGTGTGCATCTGAGTGTGTGCATCAGTAAGAGTGTATCTGGGTGGGGTGTGTGCACAGGGGTGTGCCTGCCACCAAGGGCAGCCGTGTAGATGTGTCCCAGTTGTGTGTGCTTTGGTGTTAGCAGGTGTGTACGGTGGAATTGACTGTGTGAACAGGCTGGGGACTGGGAGGATCCTCTCTTTTGCCATGCATTTGGTGGGGTCAAGAGGTAGGATTGGGAAGTGAAAGGAGGATGGGTGCACTGGCCCTTCCCTGGGCCCCAAATTACGTGTAATGTGGGGACCACAGGCCTGCTTTCACAGGCACCCTGCCTGGGCAGTTTCTGGGAAACTGGTGAGCTCTAAAAGCCCTAAAAGCCCTCAAGGATTAAGCAGGAGCCCCTGTGCCTAGAGCTCCGCTTAGGTCACTGAGCCGAACAGACCCTGTGTGACCCTGGGCAATGAGTTGTGGGGGGGTAGAGGACCCTTCCCCACCTGCCAGGCCCAACCCACAGGAGTTAAGAGTGGGGACCTCCGTCTGCCCTGAGGTGAGGGGCTGTGGGGCAATCCGGGGCCGCATCAATGTTGGATGAGCCCGCGCGGCCTCGATACCATCTTCCTTGGTCTCACTTTTAGTGTAACTGGAGAGCCCAGAGACCAGCCCGAGCCGGCCATGCGCGATCTGCTGGCAGTGGGCGCACCTGCGAGGGGACAGAAGCTGGGGTAGGGAGGCTGGCGCAGGCCCACGGTGTGTCCCGGAAAGGCGTGGGGGCCACGGGGCCCAGTCTCGCAGGGCAGGGGTCGATTCCAGTCTGGCCTCTGCTCGGCCCTGGGTCCCAGTGCTGGGTTACTCTCCCTCCCCCTTCGGGCCACCTCGCCTTCCGCGGGGTGTCATCTGTCTGGCGGCGTGTCCTTGGGCCAGTTCTGTCCCATCCCCCTGCCTAGCTCTGGGAGTTTCCTGCTCAGGAAGGGGCTGGAGGGGCAGCAGCTGGACAGAGAGAGACCTGCTGGGGTAAGGAAGGGGGGCAGCCGCGACTGCGCAGAGCCTCCCACTGCAGGTGAGTGCCCCGCCCCCGAGTGCCTGGGGAAAGGCCCGGAGCGCAGGAGTGAGATTGGGGGTCCACAGTGGCCAAGCTTCTCCCCACCCTGGGCTCTCCTACTCCAGTCCTGACCCTTATATTCTTGTGACACCACAAGTGCCACCCCCAACCCCCAACCACCACCAAGTATTGCCCTACAAGGCAGCAGTGAAGTAGGCTGGTAGCCGGTGAGCACCTGGTAATTGTTGGCAGTGGTTGGGATGAGATTATTACTGCACTGTGGTCTCTGTGGTCAGCATGGATGGACACTCCTGTGGGCAGCAAGTTTGGATTGGATCAGTGAGCCATAGCAAGTGGGCCAGCAGCCTGTTTTTAAAACCCGTTTGTTGGAAAACAGACACATTTATTGGTTTAAATGTTGTCTATGGCTGCTTTCACACTACAGCCTCAGATCTGGCCCTTCAAGAAAAAATTTGCCGATGCCTAAGATATTCCCCCAGGGTATACTTCCCTTTAACCTACACATGTCCATTCTCTTCCTCTCGCTCCACATCTGGGCATCTATCCTCCCTCCTCCCTTTGCATCTCCAGCACATCTGGATCATGCCAGGTTCTCCACACCTGGGAACATTTCTTTGGGGACCATTCACCTCACATCTCGTCACTCTTCCTCTCTCTGGCAAAAGAGGAAATGACTGGGGCAACAAGAATTTCAGAATCTAACAGGACAGCCGAGGGCTGAGGGAGGACCTTTGCCTGACCCCAAGTTGTCAGTGAGCCCCTCCCTAGGCTACAGGAGCAAGGTGAGTTAACTGCTGATGAGCACAGCTGCTCTGGACCCCCAAATCTGTTTTGTCACCTGAAAGACTAAGCAGGCCAGTTCTGGACATGGGCTTTGTGTCACTCCCTCTGTTGGCTGGTGACAGAGCTGAGGTCCCGATAGAGTGGTGGGGAGACACTGCCGAACAGATAATTAGAGGGTGCCAATATGCTCTAGGGGGGATCCTGGGAGACAGGGAGCTCCAGAGGCACCGCCCCTTCCCTGCCCGCTTCGCTGCCGCTTCCACACCCTGGGGCCCATCGTGCCCCACTTCCTGCAAGCCCCAAGCCTTTGCAAACAAAACAAAAGTCATTTCCTTGGTTCCCTTTTGTACATCTGAGTTCAGGGGTCCATTTCAGGGCCTGGACTGGAGCAGAGGGAAACTCCGGGGCCTGAAGATAGAGCTGCATTCCCGCTGTGCCGCCACAAGATGGCACTCTCGAGGTGTCTGCCCCTATTTGAGAACTCCGGGAGTTTCTGACACTTGCTGGCCTTTCACAGGCCCAGTTTCAGCCTGAAGATGGTGGTCACACACACTCTGAATCCCGCCAGGCCTGATTAGCTCTGCCTGCCCCCTGAGGCAGCTCATAGACTTCTTCAGACTTTGTAGTTCTGGACGTATTGACCCCTTCCGAAAGGGCCCTTAGGAACTGCCTGCAGTGTAATTACCTGCCTGCTTATACTCCTCCCCGCCAGGCACTCCTGAGAGTGGGACTGTCTTACTCTCCTCGGGGCCACCTGCTCCCGCCCAGGGCCTGGCACGGCAGAGATGGCAGAGGTGTTTGGTGGGTTGTGATGTGTAAAGAGTACAGAGTGCTGCTGTCGCCATTCATCCCGCTACAGTTTGTCTGGTGAACGCATTTTTAGTATCAAGCTGCCTGAAGGAGAAGCCAGGGATAAAGAGACAAGTTCACAATGTATCCTGGGGAGAGGGATTGGTTCACAGAGAGGAGCAGCCTTGCAGCCTTTCCCCCTCCAGCCTGGTTCTGGCTGTTGCCAACATTCTAGGAGTTCTCTAGACAGGATGAAAGGCACTGCAGGGATACAGGGAGGTTGGGAGAATGGAGTTTGTTTCCAGGTAGAATTTTGGGACATACCCGGCCTTGTCTGGGAGCAATCAGGGTCTAGAGTCAAGGGCTAGGATGGGCTCTGGGGCCTACTGTGACCTCATCCCTCTCACCTGGCCCCAGCTCAGGCCATTCCAAGAGCCTCCCAGCCTAACAGCAATGTGTGGCTATCCAAGGATCCCAGACAGAGGATTGGAGGACTGCACCTGTGTTTGGGGGACAGCCACCCCTCCCCCTAAGCACCTGCTCTGACAGCACAGGATGATGTCAACAAGGGACTTCCATGAAGCCCAAGGGGGAAGGACAGTGGGAGTGGGGGCTGAGGTCTGGACTCTGCTTGAAGACTGACAATGACGGGTGGGGGCCCCTCACCCACTGTGAGTTCTAGGAAGAGGGTGAGCATTTCTGTTGACTGTGGCCCATTGTGTTGGCAGAGTCCAGGCCAGTTTGTGCTCTTATTGTGACCCCAGGAGGAAGTCCTTTGCTGGATCATCTACCTCATGGGATGGTACTGACATGCAGGTACCATTTCCCTGCCAAAAACAGGCTCCAGAGTAAGACTGGCATCACTCACTAGGGTAATTATTGGTTTGGGTTCAATTTCCATTCAAAACAGTAATCCCAGCCTGAGCTGGGTGTCAGATCTGAAGGTTGATTATTAATAACATTTATCAACAGCCTCTCTCAGCTTCAGGCAATTATAGCTCATCTGCCATTCCTGCTCCCAGTCATGCAAAATTGCCAGCTTCTTCCCTGCCCACCCCCTCCATTCCCCTCTCCCCTTCTTCTCCCATCTCCTCCCCTTAGCAGACAACCTGACTGAGGGCAGGAGGTGGGTGCCACCTTATGACTCACTATCACCCCGTGTGGAGGGGGTCCATGTGCACGCTAGGCACCTGTGCTCCCCAGCAGCAATCTTCATGTTGCAGTCTTGTGAAATCCGAATCTGATTCTATCAGAACTGAGAAGAATCTGTGGAGGGGACAGACCGGAACTCATGTCTCCCGGCTCCTTGTCGCATGATGCGTTTTCAATGGCAGTGTTTGTTCCTGCTCCTGACTCAGTCTGTCCCTCCCCTCCAGGGCTGAGACTAGGGTGAGGCTAGAGAGGCATTGACCTTAAGTGCAACATTCAAGGGATCTCGAACAAGCTCAATGATTAAGATAAATGATATTTCAATATAGTGTTTTTTAAAAACTCAAAATGAATGCAAAACATACACAACAAAATCAAACTTTTGATAAAAACAAGATATAGCACTGGATTTGCAGGCCTTGGCCTCACTTACCTTACCCTAACTCCAGTCTTTTTATCATGGACAGTTTTGCTTTGATTTGATGGAAGTATTCAATCTCTTGGCTGCTGAGTTTTTTGGCAAATCTTTAAATTCTGCGCCCCAGGTAAGAGCTTCATTCAGCTCACCCTGGCGCCGGCCCCACTGTTCTCACTTCCCGCTGGGCCCTAATCTCCTGCTCCCTTCAGCTCTCACTGTCTACTACCTCAGGCTGGGTGGCTCAGCTTCTCTCTTAGCAGGTGCCCAGGGCAGCAGGACACCCAGAGGGACCCTCCATGGGCTGTCCTTCCAGGGTGCCCATCCTCCATTCCATCCCACTGGACCCTGCTTCAGCTGTCAGACACCTCGGGGAGGGCCTACAGGTTGCCAGGGTAACTGCTGTGATAACTGGAGGACAGAACATGCTGATCTTGCTCTGCTCCTAGAATCACATCCAGCCAGGGCTGGATGAGCGCAAGCAGGCATGCCTGACAGTGTCCCTGACACGCTGATCCAAAACGTCACTGGACATGTATGGAGGTGGAGAACATTCCATGTACCTGCATTCCTCCAGGGAGAGGACAGCATGAGGCTGGAGGAAAACTGTGGTGATCTGTTTGTGACAGGGAGGTGAGAGGCTGAAGTAGACATGGATGCTTGCTAACCAGCCTTCTGCAGAGGGTAGGTCTGATTCGCTGAAGGGCTTCTGTTCTGCTGAGCAGGGTCTGTCAGCGGGGGGTGCACCTGTCACCAGAGAATACCCTCTCCCTGTCCTGCCCTGGCTGTGCTCCAGTAGCCTAAAACATAAACAGACATTTCAGAAAGATCGGTGTTGAAGGGGTGCCCAAGATGCCAAATTATATCTGGGACTTGAGACACTGTTATGTCAAGATCCAGGCCTAGGCCAGCTGGTCACTCAGTGTCCAGATGCCTGTCACAGTGGGAGGCCTGAGGGTCTCAGGGGACATCTATCAGAAGCACCTCTGCCCTGCCTGTTCCACTCCGTGATCTCCCTTCTGAGTCCCCACTGTAGTACAGAACCAGCTGGTCATCTAGCCTGGCAGTAGTAAGTCATTCTATTTTCCTGCAGATAGGAATACATGGTTCCTATTCCTCCTATGCACTCTGCCACTTACTGGGCAAGTGAATTCCCCTCTCTGAGCCCTAGGTTACCCTTTTGTGAAATATCAATAATAGCACCCTTCTTAGAAGGTTGTATTCACCATTCAATGTACTAATGCAAAGCACTGTGACAGACTGAAGAGTCATGTTCTGTGGGGTCCTGGAGGACAGAACTAGGACCAAAGGGAGGTGTGTTTGAGCTTTAGGTGAAGTAGCAATGGCCAACTACAGAGATGGAGGGACTACTCTGGCAAGAGCAAGCACCCTGATGCTCAGAGCATGCATGAGGAGGTTTCATAATCACCATCCAGCAGCTTAGCCTCAAAAGGGCTGCCTGCCTCAGGGAGCTATGACCCTTGAGAGATGGGGTTTATCCAGCTGTGAGGTTCTGTTTGAGCATCATTCCTCAGTTGTCCTCCAGGGGGTCATGGCACAAGTCTCAGTAGCACGGGCCCCATGGTCCAGCCTTAAGGTAAGAATGGACCTCCCTGGAAGAAGCTGGCTTCATCTACAGTTGATAAGTTCACTTTTTTTCTGGTCCACTTTCCTTGATTTAACCCTATGACCAAACCTGAGAGCTTTGGCAGGAAGGAAGCCAGGGAGGATGTTGTGCGTGAGAAAGTGCTGGCCTGAGCATTGACTTTGAGATGTCCCTTTACTCTGACTGGAAGGTCCCATTCCACCTGTAGCAAGACAAAAGACACGTGAAGGGGAGTTTCTGGGAGATTGAGGATGAGGTCTCCAGTTGCAGGTGCATGCACACGTCCATTTCCCCACCTGGAAGGTGTCGGCATGCAGGGTGTCTGTGCATGTGCCCCTTGCACTGACTCCCTTGAGACTGGCTGTGCAGCTTTGAGGCATGTGTCTAAGCAGAGAGAATGGAAGACCCCATATTGGGAGCCTTGGCTTTGACCTTTCCTTTCTCTGAGCCTGATTTTCCCAACAGTGTTACAGGAGGGGAAGGATGAGATGCCCTTCTCAGCTGATGTCCGTGATTCTTGTATTTTCTGGAGGCCATGAGTGTTAACAGAATGTGCTCACTTTTGCACCCTTCTTCCATGACCACTTACAGTCTGTCCGCTTAGCAGATGAGGGGTCTGGGTTTCCAGGGTCCATTTGGGGTAGGGTCAGCAGTGTCCAGCTTTGCATCTGGGTATCACTTTTCCTTCTGATATTTGAAATTAGATCCTGAAGATTCCTAATTATTGTTCCAAGTTCTCGTTGAAAATCTGGGTGTAATTTTTATAAGAGCATGGCCGAGGATGGACCCAGAGGGGAAGTAGTGGGACTGGAGGGAGGAAAGGGAGAGACAGAAGGTGATGTTGTCATTAGGAGTTAAAGCCGGTGCCTGGTAGTAGATAAGGCTGGACAGTTGGCAGGATCATTGGGCAGACTAAAGCAGCTTAGATTCTGTCCAGAGGCAGTGGGGGTCTTCTGTAGTGTGTAAGTGGGCTGGGAGGACATGATCTTAGGAAGCTCACTCTGGTGTCAGTTGCAGGATGGATTTGGGAGGAGCAAGTTAGACATAGATGCCCATCATGATGCCAAGATCTGGGCAACAGACAGGAAGGCTCTTGCTCAGAAGTGGCTCCAGGGAAGGTGAGGTGCATAGAATTGAGAGATGCTCAGTAGATGGCATCAGCAGTGCTTGGTGATTGTCTGGATTGGCAGAGGAAGGTGGACAGGGAAAAGCAGAAAGCTACAATGGTGCCGCAAGGGGCTAAGTGATGTCACTCACAGAGACAGAATGTATAGAGTGAATGTTCAGACTCACAGGAAGTCCAAAACTGCATACCCCAATGTGAGGTGCTGTGGGACATCCGGGGTGCAGGGTCCAGAGAACAGGTAGGTAGAGTTTAGAAGAGGGCTGGGTCCACGATGCAGCCTTTGATGTTCTCAGTGTAAGAGTTGTGGGAGATGAGGCCTTGTGAGTGGATGGGAACACCCCAGGTGCATTTCAGGTGAAGGAAGAGGACAAGAAGCTGAAGACACAGATGAGCAAATCCTAGATCTTCCATCAGTCCCTAGAAGGCATGATGTGTGCGTTTCCCAGCACACAACCTGAGCCCTAGCACAGAACTGGCCACAGAGAGGGCAGCGGTGAATGTGTCCTCTGTGGTTCCTCCAGATGGGGCCTTTGTCCTCAGTGCACTTGGCTCTGCCAGGGTTGCTATAGTAACCTACAGATGCAGAGAGACTCGGCCTCCCCATTGCCATGGAAACCAGCAATTGGGTGTCCCTGTGTGGCATGGCCACTGAGACCTTGAGGATTCAGTCTGGTCCTGAAGGGTTTGGGAGGGAGACTGCGACCAGAAGACGTTTCCATGTCCTAATTAATGGGTGATGGTGGTTGTTAGTCTGACTGTTGCCACGGTGATGAAGGGAGACACCCAAGTGGGCTTGTGCTGGTTTCAGTACTGAGGCGAATACAGGGAATTTCAACAGGCTCCAGGTCTTACTGTGCAGCCTGAAGTGGGGCCATCCTTCAAACCCGCTCCATCCTCTGGCCACAATGGGGGCCAGGACACCTTTGCCTTCTTTCTGGGTTTCTTTCTTTGCCGAGACAGGGATTTTGTTCCCAGGAGGCAATCCCTGGCCCATGGGATCTCAGCATTCAAAGCAACAACACAGGAAACCTGGGCCCCTGAAACGGGGCCACCGAGGAGATCGGTAAGCTTTCAACATCCTGCCTTCAGCCCATGGGCCCAACCCCTGCGTCAGCTCCACCCACCCACCCTCACTGACCTCAATCCTTTACAGTCCCACGGCCTCCCCTTCCTGATGGCGCTGCTCCCCCGTCACCACATGGAGCCCCATAGGTCATCCCCCGAAACCCCTCATTCTCCAGACAGGTGATCAGGGAGGCTTCATTACTCCAGGAGCTGCCCAGGATCTCAGGGGGGTCCTCCACCACGGGAGTAAGGGCCTCTCCCCCAGCCTCCAGGGCTCTGGCAGCTCCACACTCCGGCCCTCTGCCTCTTCTGGAGGGCTCCTCCTTCCAGCTTCTGCCTGCCGCCCCACCCCCCAGTGCTTCATTCCCACAGCTTGGGTCATCACTGCCCTTGTCTGGACTGCCTACCTGCCTGCCTGCCATCCAGGGCCTACAGAGTGAGCACTCTGTGAAAGTCCCTCTACCCTGATCCGTCACGTAACTCACCTACTGAGGCAGCTGAGACCAGGGCACTGAAGGAGGCCTTGAGTGACCAGGTCTGGCCAGGCAGTGGGCAGGGATGATGAGGTGAGGCTGCAAGGGTGCGGAGAGTCACCCCTTCTTTTCCTCCTCAGGAGAACAACCAAGAGGAAGTACTGGAAGGAAGGAAGGGAGATCGCTCGGTGAGCTGGAGGGGAGGAGGGCGTGCCGGCCCTGGGGAAGGGCCAGCCACAGGAGACTGCCAGGGAGGTGGGGGGAGGACGTGGGTGGCTCAGGGGCCATGAACCCCATAATGCGCCTGGGGGTGTGTGTGTGAAATGGGGTTTAGGGGAGGGTGTGACCACTGGGCAAAGCCTACTTTTACTGTGTGTGACTGTTGTGGCCTTGGTTTGTCCCTCTGGGATCCTCCTGTGGTCTTTTTGCCCTGACTCTAACCGGGTGGTGCTGATGAGCAGGCCCAGAGGCCTGGGCTCTGTTCACCAGCCTGTCCAGGAACTCTTAGCCAAGCCACCTGAGAAAGGAGGTGCCCTCTACATGTGGTCGCACCATAGCTTAGGACCACAGAGGGAATCATGGTGGCAGAGCCTCCAGCCCCTCTGCCCTCCCATTGCCCAAACACCCAGATGTGGAGATGCCCTGCCCCAGGGGTGCCGTCCCAAGCCTGCTTTCTAATGTCAGGAGGTGGGTCTTGCCTAAGGCTCCTAACCAGGACCTCATTTGTTGTTTATACATGTTGGGGTCCCAAGGATATGTTTCTTGGCCCATGGGATGGTCATAACTGCCCTGTGAAGGAGGGGGTGCTGTCCTGTGTACAGATGAGGCAAAATGACAGGATCCTGTCCCCAGCTGCAGAGTGTCTGCTGAGTGTCCCCAACACCTGGGAAGTCTGCCTGTCCTTCCAAGGAACCAGGCCAGAGAAACAGGGAGCACCTGGGGCTCTGCTTTGCCTCCTCAGATGTCAGTTCTGGGTTTCTGATGGGGTTTGTGATGATGGTGCCCTAAAGGGATGCTCTGTGTAGAGCCAGGGGTCTTGGGTATGGCTTTCATGGCAGGGACCTCATTGCTCTCCTTTTCTACACATGGCCTCAAACCAGGTTGACTTTTTAGCCTAAAAAAAATCTCATGCAGAGACAGACAGTGGTGTGGGGGAGGGTGTATCACTTGAGCCTACTTCACAGGCTCTTGGGAAGGAGCAGTAGGAGGAGGAGGGGTGCAAGTTGTGAACCCCAGAGGGGTGACTCTGCTGTGATGACTGTTAATGAGGCTTGAGACTTCAGCTCATTTGTCGTGTGCAGCTGGTGTATTTTGAGTGATGTAAGTTGATGACACCCTCCTTCCTGAACCCACTGTCAAGGCTGCAAGAAATTTTTGAGGTCCTACATCCAACCCCTTGTGTAACAGGCAAAACAGGCCTCAGGTTCTGAACCAAGGTCACACTGCAAGTTTGTGGTAGACTCAGAACTAGAACACAGGCCCCCTGCTCAGGGTTCTTTCTCTGTACTGTAGGAGAGGGAACCAGCATCACTGTGTGGGAGTCAAGGGGCTTCTCAGGAGTGAGTAGTCCTTTGGCCATGACCTTGCCTTATGTGAATGGAAGTTCTGAGCATAGTGTGAACTGTGTGTCTACAGCTGATGGCTGCCTGGCAGGGACTCTTGGCTATACTGGGTTTCTGGGCTGACTCATTTCTCAGGTTTGGTATCTCTCTACTTCATGTTGAAAGGCTCTTCCCTGTTGAAAGGCTCTGCCAGTATCCCTTAATATCAGGTAAAACTGCACAGTTCAAGATGGTGCCAGCAAGCATGATGTTTCCCCCATGGTGACACAGGGCTGTAAGTAGGGAGATGAGGAGCCAGGCATCTTTGGGGTTGAGGGCTGACTTATAGGACCCTATCTCCGTAGGTTTGGGATAGTCATAATCAATGGCAAAGTTAATGATCCAGCCACTTAGGGATATAGCAAAGCAAGATAACCTTGGCTTGTTGTCTTCAACTTGTTGAAGAATGTAATCTCCATTTCATCCACTCATTACTTGGCATCTTGGGATCGTTTGAAACTGTTCCACCTGTGAAATCCTAATCTTCAGAATGTACCTCCTATGCATTCCCATACCTCCACCATGTCTGTTCATAGAGACCTCAGGCCCTTGAGCCCTAGTTTTTCTCCTCACTCTGAATCAACTCTTGTTCCTATTCTATCTGAGATCTGCTGCTTGTCACTTCAACTGCCCACCATTCACCACCTGGCCTCTTAGTCTCCTACCTCAACCTTAGAACATGGTAACTGCTTGCTTTCTTTAGTCCTTCATGAATTGATATTAGTCCAAATTCATGGTCTGCGGCCTCCAGTGAGCCCCCAGCAATGTCCAGCAGTCCTGTGACCTGGGCCTGCTCCAGTTCCTCCACAACTACATCAAAGCTCTCACATTACCCTCTTATTGGGATATAATTCATATACCATACAAGTTGCCTGTTTATAGTGTACAGTTCAATGGTTTTAAGTTGTATGACCATCACTACAATCTATTTTAGAATATTCCCATTACTGTCCCCAATGAAAACCCATGCCCATTTGCAGTCTCGCCCTTTTCCTACACCCCCCAGCCTTAGACAGCCACTAATCTATTTTCTGTCTTTATAGTTTTGCCTATTCTGGACATTTCATATAAATTAAATCACATAATTTGTGGTCTTTTGTAACTGACTTCTTTCCTTAGTATAATATTTTCTAGGTTCATCTATGTCATAGCATTTATCAATACTTCATTTCTTTTTATTGCTGAATAATATTCAATTGTATGGGTATACCACATTTTCTTTATCCATTCATCAATCGATGAACGTTTGGATGTTTCCACATTTTAGCTATTATACATAATGCTCATATAAACTCTTGTGTCCAAGTTTTTATATGGACATATGTTTTCACTCCTTGGTTATATGCCTAGGATCTATATTCAACCTTTTGAGGAACTGTCAAGACTGTTTTCCCAAGTGGTTGCTGCATTTTACATCCCCACCAGCAGTATATGAGAGTCTCAAAGTTTTTTCACATTTTTGCCAATACATGTTATTATCTGTAATTTTAAGTATAGTCATCCTAGTAAGTATGAAGTAGTATCTCATTGTGGTTTTGGCTTACATTTCGCTGATGACTAATGATGACTAACAATGTGCTTATGGACCATTTGTATATCTTCCTTGGAAAAATGTCTATTCATATCTCTTGTCCATTTTTTAAATTGGGTTGCCTTTTTATTATTGAGTTGAAGCATGCTTTATATATTCTAGGTACAAACAAGATGCTTATCAGATATATGGTTTGCAGATATTTTATTCTTTTCTGTGGTTGTCTTCACTTTCTTGATGGTGTTCTTTGCAACACAAATATTTTACATTTTTATGAAGTCTAATTTATCTAGTTTCCTTTTGTTGCTTGTGCTTTTGGTGTCACATGTGAGAAACCGTAAGATTTCTTAACGAAGATTTCTGCCTATGTTTTCTTCTAAGAGCTTTATAGTTTTGGCTTTCATTTAGGTCTTTGATTCATTTTGAGTTAATTTTGTTATTGGTGTGAGGTAGGGGTCCTAACTCATTCATTTGAATATGGATATTCAGTTGTCCCAGCACCATTTGGTGAAAAAAACTTTTTACCGTCATTGAATGGTCTTGCTATCCTGTTGTAAATCAGTTGACTGTAAATGCAAGTTTATTTCTGTGCTCTCAATTCCACTGCATTGACCTATATGTCTATCTTTATACCAATACCACATTACCTTGATTACTGGAGCTTTGTGGTAAGTTTTGAGATCAGGATGAGTTCTCTACCTTTGTTCTTTTTCAAGATTGTTTGGCTATTCTGTATCCCTTAATTTTTTCTTACTTATTTTAGGATCAGCTTGTCAATTTCCACAAAGAAGCCAGCCAGTATTCTAATGGAGATTGGATTGAATCTGTAGATCAGTCTGGAGAGTATTGCCATCTTAATAGTCTTTTGATCCATACGCACAGGATATCTTCTTATTTATTATTTAGGTCTTCTTTAATTTCTTTCAAAGAAGTTTGTAGTTTTCAGTGTATAATATTGCACTTCTTTTTATAAGTTTATTCCTCAGTGTTTTATTCTTCTTGATGCTTTTGTAAATTGAATTGTTTTCTTAATGCAAGTGTATAGAACTGTGTATAACTGATTTTGTGTAATGATCTTGTATCCTGCAAACTTGCTGAACTTGTTTATTAGTTACAATGATGTTTTAGTGGATAACTTAGATTTTCATTACACAATATTATGTCTTGTATGAGTAGAGATAGTTTTACTTGTTCCTTTCTAATCTGGATGCCTTTTGTTTCATTTTCTTGCCTAATCATCTTGGCTAAAACCTCCAGTACAATGCTGAATACATTTGTCTAGAATGAGCATCCGCCCCACCGCCCTTTTTCTGGCTACTCTTAAGATTTTCTCTTTATCGTTGGCTTTCAACAAATGATTATGTGATGTCTTGGTATAGTTTTCTTCATGTTTCTTCCACTGAATGTCTTTCGAGTTTCTTGGATATTTGAGTATATGGTGCTCATTATATTTGAAACAACATTGGGCTTTATTTCTTCTATTTTTTTCTGCCTTTTCCCCTGAAACGCCAATTATGTGTGTTAATTTGCTTAATGTTGTTCCAGAGTTCACTGATACTTTGGTTTTCATTTTTCAGTATTGTTTCTGTGTTTTATTTTGAAATATTTCTACCTATACCTTTGAATTTACAAATCTTTTCTTTGCAGTGTCTAACTCCGTGAAGTATATATTTTATTTTAGATACTATGTTTTTCATCTCGAAGCTTGACTTGCATCTTAATTATATCTTTCATTTCTCTCCTCATCATAGTCATATTTTCCTCTACCTTCTTTACATGGAGTAAGTTTATAGTAGCTCTTTTAACATTTATGTTTGCTAATTCTGTCATCTGTGTCATTTCTAGGTATCCTCCTACTTGTAGTGTTTTTACCCACAACACTTCTAACACTAAATGTGTGGTTTCTTTCCACACCAACAACCAATTTGGCGACTCTCTGGATGCCAACTGAGGGTTCGGCAATTTAATTTGGTTCTGTTACTAATTATAATAATTAGTTATTGCAGACCCCACAGATTAAGGGTTCAGTCCTGCAAGACTTCCCCCATTTCATAAG